ACCTGAATAATAATTATATAAAAATATAGTTACATAAAGCAGTCATTCATTCCCCATGTAACCTCCCTGAACTCCCATCCTCCTCTTAAACAAAGCAAAAGAAAAAAACTTGTGCTTTAGATTTTTATTTTTTTCTTTGGCCTCTTCCCCTGCCTAGTTGATAATATTTCCCTGCTCCTGCAGCCTCCTGGGATATCCACATAACATAACCCAGGAGTGGCTGCAGGAGTAGGACACACTGCAGCCAAAGGGCTGACCTGGCACGTGTCATTATATATCAGACCAGCTACTAGCTCAAGGATCCAAGAAAAAGGAGATTCACTGCTACCATCACAGAAGTTAAAAAAAAAAATGCCAATCCTTATTTGCAGATTATTTATGCTTACCTCTCTAGGTTGTTGTAGTACTCCAACCACATATTGGCAAATTTAGAATTTCCTTTGGTCATGATGTTATCCCACAGCTCTCTGGCTTTCTGCATGTTGTTGCAGTGGTGAGCCTTAATAGGGTAGCAGAGAGAAGAATTGTTTTAAATATAAAATTTGCGAGCCAGAAAGGTTTAATTAAAAACGGTTTTTACTCAAGAACTCATCTTACAAAGTAAAATGATGTCCTTTATAAAAAAAAAAAAAAAAAAAAATAATTGCTTGGCGTCTTTACTGTATACATTTTTAAAGTGATGTATTAAAAGAACACTTATGTAGCAAGACAATATAATATTCTTAGGTAAAATTACATAGTCCATAATAAATACAAATCCACTCTTTATTCCACAAACACTAGAAAGCACTGTATCTCAGAAATGACACCCAGACCTAATCACAATCATTGCACACACAGTGGTTTATTAAAAGCTAGATTTTCACATACAATTAACTTCTCTTTCAAAACATTTTCAACCACAAAATGGAAAATGACTAAAGAAAGAAGCTAAACTTCAGGAAAACAGCTCAAGGTAAAAGTTGATGTATATATATGTGCTATTTTACTTCACAAAAGATATGTATTTTTGTCCATCTAGTCCTGAGGTTAACATAACCCTGAGACATCAGAGCCAGGTTGGCATCATGACTTTTTCTACTGCAGTTGAGAAACACAAATATTTCACATCCTAGCTCCCAGAGCAGTAGGAGTTAAGCTTTAGGCCAAATGCTTTCTGCACATCCTCACTGTCACCTATCTGCATAAAACACACATGAGCTATTCTTTACAACTGTGTACACATTCTCGTTTGCCTAACAAAGAAGACAACTGAATTTTTGTGCTCACCATAAAATTGTTTTCTTGGGAGTCTACTGAGGGACACAGGAAGTCTTAAGCCGTATTTCTCAACCGGAGTTCCACAGAACCAAAGGGTTCCATGATAAGTCCCCAGGGGCTCTGCAGCAAATCAACACTGTGGCAGATGTATATCACCCAATGTTGTTTCCAGTGTTGTTTTCAATGCTTGCTGACAGTCAGTACTGCCAGCATGCATTGATACCAAATGCCTTTAGTTCTGGCTACGAGCGCAGAGGAAGGCACCGGGAGTAGTGCAGAGAAAGGGAGCCAACTTCCTACTATGGCAGCACTGATCACAGACTGAGGAAGGAAGCCTCTTCTATCTGTCCCAGGCTCTCGTTTGTGATATCACCTGGGATGGACGAGGGGAGGGCTAGCACAGATCAAGGGGGAAAAGGCATGTTACAACAGCAGCTTCCCTGCAGTGCTCTGCATTTGTTTGTTAATTGTTGTTATATCTACAGCTCGCTGCTCAGATCCAATGTTCCATGAGCTGTATTTCTGAAAATTTTTTTTAGGGTTCCTCAAGATCTCAAACATTTTGCCAAGGGTTCCTCAGCCAAAAAAAAAAAACACACACCTGTAGGTCGGCTCAGGATAACCCCTCCTACTACCAGCATGCCTCAGTTTTATAGCAAAGCAAAACTGAGAGTCAAACAGAGTGGGAAAAGTCTTGAGCTTTTGGGATGTCCAAAAGCAGTCCAATGGTGGGCAACTCAGCAGACAAACACAAACAGGCCAAAGAAAAAAAAAACAGCTCTATGAGCTGCAGGCAGTTCCCAGGTCTGTCTGAAATACCTTATGCCCAAAGCTGGCATCAGATGAGGCAAAAACCTCCACCTGGTAGACTAGCCTTGCAAATCTGAAAAACAACTGTCTGATGCTGAGAAGCACTTACAGATAAAGTAGAGTGCTTTAACAAGAAAGGGTTAAACCCGATTCCTGAGACAATAGGCTTAACTGATGGTCTGTCTGAACCCAGGGTAGGCAACCTGCGTCTCTCTCGCTGTTGTGGAACTACATTTCCCATGAGGCATTGCAACATTACAAATCTGACAGTTACAGCTGACTTGCAGAGGCATGATGGAACTTGTAGTCCTGCAACAGCTGGAGAGCAGGAGGTTGCCTACCCCTGGTCTGAACTATCTAGAAACGATGGAACAAAAAGCTGGTAAATCCTTTTGGGGTACATCCATATGACTAAAAGGAAATCAGTCTAAAAGCAGTGGCTGAAAGAGTCTCACAGAGCAAACCACCAGACAAAAGGAGGGAAACTTTCTTTTGGTGAACTGGAGCAGCTCACAGAGGAATCAAAGAAAGACCTGGTTGAGATGAAAGGCAGAAACTACCTAACGCATGTCCTGAATCTCAACACCACCTTCTCCAAATGCAAAACCATACACTCCTGGGGAGGAAGCCCAAGACTCACAAAGTGAAGTATGCCTTCCATGCCATATGACAGACCTTGCAGGAGACTAAGTTTCTAGCTTTTTCTAACACTGTAGGAATCAAAAATCCTTGAGATGCCCCTGCTCTCCTTGGTCCAGGTGCTGCTGGCTGTGGAAATCTGCCTGCCAATTGTCTATGCTGGCCTAGGACAGGATCGAATATACCTCTCTTACTGTTACAAGACTTCTGGTTCTTACTTAATAATTGATGTATGCCACCGTCACAACTTGCTCAACTGAACCTGGATCAGATGACCCTCCAAGTAGGGTGGTCCAATGCGGCAGACAGCCAAATCGCCAGAAGTTCCAGAATTGTGATCAGGAGACAAGACTCTTGATGACAACCAAATACCCTGCACTCACAGGGTGCCCAGGACTCCTTCCCCATTGATGGTGAGGATCCTACAAAAGGCAGGAAGGCAAGACTTCCAACTCCAGAGCCGGATTCCTGAGCTACCAAGCCAGGGACAACCTAAAGGTGAACTTATTTACCCCTATGGTTTTGTTAACCAGTCTTCTCACATACTAGTTGTCTGATCCATGTAAGGAAACTGCCCTGCTCAAAGCAACAGATGTTAATTGCACCATGGTGTGAACAATTTAATGTACCCAATATTTGAGATTTGAAATGAATAAAGAATGCATTAAAATGTTGCTTGTTGGGTATACTTGAGGATAGAGTTTGGGAACCACTGACTTATCAGGATGCTTCCAATTTCCACAGAGAGAAATAGTTGGGAAAGCAGGTGTAAAGAGAAAGATTTTGGAGTGTTCAGAGACAAGGCAAGTGCTGAAGCAATGCCAGTGGCTCTGGACCTGGATAGTGCTCCATAGCGGACTTAATATATAATGAAATTTGGAAAGTGCCACACGCAAAACCCAGTGCATAAATGTAACTTCCAGGTAATATCCCCACAATGCCCAGTCCAGCGGGATCCAGACGTGGTAACAAAAGCAAGGCGAGGTTGACCACTCCCGACATCTACAACCGAAAAGGGATGTAGAGAAGAGTCTTAAAGTTAGGAAAAAAAAAAAAAAGAAAAGAAAAAAAAAAAAAAAAAAGACAGTTTTTTTAACACAGCAGAGCTATAAAAAAAAACAAAAAACAAAAAAAAAAAGCACATTGGTAGTAGAAGGTGTTATCCTAGGCTTATCCTACAGTTCTTTATTCCTCCTGTAAGCGACGGTATTACCCAAACGTTTAGGAATTCCTGTTTCCTTCAATGGACAAGGAAAAGAAAAATGGAGAAATAAAAAGCATTGAATAACAAAATTACATACATGCTTACCTCTACCCTGGCCCAGTTTTGCATTATGCTGCAAGTTGGATCTCCACTTTCACCAAATCCTGAAGAGAGAAAGTTTAGAATGTTAAAAATTCACACATGCTAAAAAATTACATTTACTGACTGTTAATTCAGATATCTATCATATGTAATAACGGAAAACCCCATTACTACTACTATACATTGCTTGAAAATGTAACATTACAAGAACATAATAAGACACACCATTTTCACTAAGTGACAAAATAGTATCAGGTCAATCAAATAGAGTGCAGCACTAAAACACACCCTTTACCTACTAGTGCAAAACAGTATATACTATAGGTATACGCATACATACTAGTGAAAAAAACAAAAACACATATGCCGCAATAAAGTAAATATGTGAAAATACTAATCATAAAGTGACAATATGTAGTACTTACACATTCTGCATAAAAACAAATGAAAGGTGCACTGTAGGGCTTCATCAGGTTGGCAATGAACTTGGACATGCATTTGAAACTTCTACACAGTGGTGTCCTAACTCAGCATCCACAGCCATTGCATAGAAGTTTATTCTGTGTGCACTTTGTACATTGGAGTATTTTGATGTTGCTTTTCTAGAAAAATTGTGATTTTATGGAAGGCACTATGCCATCCCTGCTACTTTTCTGAGCTCCTATTTTTTTATCTGAAATTCTGGCCCAGCAAGTATGAGTTCCTGGCTACAAGTTAACTCCTGAGGGGGGCAAGGGTTATTAGGCCTCATTATTTGCTGAAAGTGAGAGAATGTCCACTAAAGAAGAAAGTGAATGATCTTCACCAATGGTTTCACTTTGTAAAATGCTCTAGCATAGCGGTGCCTGGAGTGAATCACCTTTGCACATTGTGTAAAGAAGTAGAGATCAGTTTGTGAATCTGTCTTGCAAGCACTATTTTTGCATTTAATATTGCACTGTTTATATGAAATGTGAAGTATTATCTATTAGCATTTTTATAATTAGTATTTGCACTTCATTGTGGGATACGTGATTTTCTTGCACTAGTATTTATATTATGTAAATACTATTTTGTACGAATAGGTATAGGGTGTATTTTAGCACTTTCACTCAAATTTTTTTGCTTTGTGTTTCAGACACTGAAATGTTGGTTTGCTTAGAGAGGATAGGTGCAGAGCAAAAAACTTTTTTTTTTTTTTAACTTCAACATACTAGCAAGTGCTTCATCAATCCAAAACTCAAAATTAGTACATACATGCAAGTAGACGTCAGTTGGACAAGAGCAAAAAAGTAAAGCTGGTAAAAAAAATTGTACAGATCAGGCCACCTGGCCAAACCTGAATTTCCGTCTCGGTTTCTGGTCAAATACAAAAATCTATCAAAACAGAAAGTACTTACTTTCCTCAACTTCTTGCTTCAGGTAGTCCAGTGCACGAGCAAATGCAGCTCTAAGTTCTTCAAGCTCTTTACTGGAATCTGAAAAAAGTTATAAGAAGCCTGTAACTACTATTACACACGATAATGCAGCCTGATACATGAAAAAAAGAAAATGCTAGTTTGTAATGCATTTAATCCTTGATAAAGTGAGGCTCTCATTAAGAAAAAATTATTGATGAGATTACTATTGTGCCAAATTTGTGAAACCACCAACTGCTGAGTGACGGCACTCCTAGTAAGTGAAAGACCTGTCAAACAAACAAGCAGCTATTCCATTATGGAGAGCAGCAATGTAACTCTACAGCTGAACCACATTCATACAGCCATCTATAATTACTGCTGTTCGCCAACACGGTCTGAGAAAGGCATGAGAGGAGCAGTGTATACAGCGACTGGCTGTCACTATGTCAGTATGTAAATGTAATTACCGGCTTTTTTTTTTCTTCACTATAGCTCAGAGAATCAGCTGTCACTTTCTAACCAGCTAAAAAGAAACAAAGATTCTTTTTAGTTTCTCTGTTTCCTTTTAGTTTCTTTCCAGAGATAAAAGAAAAGTTTTATTTAGCTCTGGGGAAAGTGACAGCCAATTCTGTGAGCTATAGCAAAGAAAAAAAAAAAAAAAAAAAAAAAAAAAAGCTGGAAATTGCATTTAAAAACCAGCACCGACACATATGGACAGCCAGTGAGGGAGCCTCTCTGTATACACTGCTCCCTCACTGTAGACACTGCTCCTCTCCTGCCCCCTCCTTGCACACACTGCCCCCCACCCTCTCCCCCCTACAAAGAGGACCTGTCACTCATATGCTATCACATAGGGGACTATTGATATATATATATATATATATATATATATATATATATATAATAAAATTTAGCAGAGTTTAAGAGCTGCCTTGTTTAAGTGAGGTTAAGCCTCCCTCTCCTGAAAGCAAAGGTATTGCATTCAGGAAAGGAACGTTTTGACCGCTGACCACAGGTAAAACACAAAACGCAGCAACCATGGTGCCGTGTTTTTGCCGCAATTTGCGTTTCCCAGCGGCTGGCGGTCAGAATAGGCTCGTGTACATGAAACCTTAGGGTGTGCACAAACATCTATATGTGCTAAGCCTAATTTGGGCCACTGTAAAACAACTAATCAAAGATGGTTGAGAATTGTAATGTTATACTGATGCACCCCATGTTTCTGAATCCTTTAATGTTTACACAGACAGTATGCCTAAACCCTAAAGAAAAATGTAACACCACAAAGCGCTGCTAGACCTCCAGTAACTTAAGTCCTCATTAAGTATGAGTGGTGGGGTTGACACGTGGTTGAGGAGGCATCTTTTCCTTTGGGATGCAGAGCACATTCAGTATTGTGTGAAGAGTGGTACTTTTTTTGTTTTAGGACACGGTTTGGATTATAGGACTGCACTTTATTAAATTGATTAATGATCAATTTGCACAAGTTGTGCATAAGAAATTTTTCAATGTGATTATCTTTTGGGACATTTTTATTTAAAAATTTATATTTTGATGAGAAGTGTACATATATTTGCATATTTGAAGCTTGCTAGAATGCATATGCTTTATGCATGATATACACAGTTTTTCTGGGACAGTGCAGCAGTTTTGTTTTCATAGGAGTGCGAATCACTTTAGTGGCTGGCTAGCTACACACACATTTTTATCTTTTTAATTTTTATTAATTTACAATACAGGCTGCACAGATAGTATTTTCACACTAATCCCTAGGCATCACCTGTGAAAATGCAAACTGGAAATCATTTGAATATAAGGATGATTTTTACACTGAATACAATTACATCATTCTTCAATTTCTGATTCGCTGGAACAATTATTGTTATTTATTTTGGTTAAGGTCAATAAAGAGAATTTTTACACAGCAATTTACACGTGCTACCTAGAAAGTTTTGACACAAGAAAGTGAGCAATAAACAGCTTACAACAGCCTCTGGATTCATTTCTGTATGTGTTTTTGACGTGTTCCGGTTAATTTTTTCCCCCTTTTTCTTCAACTTAAATAAGTACATGTGTGTTCTGGTGCATTTTTGATGCGCTTTACTGCTTTCCAGTACAGTTCAGTGCAGAAAAAATGCAGCATGTTAAATTTTTTTCTGAAACTGGAATGTACTGGTGTAAAATATGCCATTGAAAACCATGTAACCTACCATCATTGCGTTTTTGATGGAGAGAAAAAAAAAAAAAAAAAAAAAATCACTAGACTGCATGTGGTGTGAACTGGCTCTTAAGGTGCAACCTAAAATGAACAATATTCTTAATTAGCTGTTTAACGAGTGGACACACTCTTCTAGCATACTAACAAAAGTCTATGCATTTAAATGTGCCACCAACTATGATTTTGAGTAAAAAAAAAATGTATATATTTTCTTTCAAACAACAATGGAAAAAAAAAAACGCCTATGTATAGCCCTTCTCAGAAATGCAATCCTCTCAGATAGGTCGATCCAATTTTGCAGCACTACATCATGTTCCCTGCTGTTAATACTGTCTTGACAGGCTAAAACTGGTTAGTCACCCGGCTGTGATGTTGACCCACTGGCTTCAGGAATGTCACCGTCTTGGAGAAAAAGTAAACTACTAAGAAAAGTCACACAAATTCATCTGCATATAAAAGGGTTTGCACAACAGCCAGGTAATCACCTCCACAAGCAACAAATATGAAAGCCTGCAACATATTATATTCCCCCACAGGTTGTACATGACCAAGTCTGTGTCTATACAAATTTAAACTAATTTATATAAAAAAAAAAAAAAAAAAAAAAAAAGGGGGTATGAAGACAGCCATTGCTGGCCTCCTCCAGAAAATGTTGGCTGCCTGGCAGTCAGGCTCATCCTCTAAACGCAGTCAGACCTCCTTATATGCATGCTTCTTTAGTAAATCAAATGATAGGAACCAATATGACAATCAGGGAACTAGAATTTTAATAAGGCATCAATAAAATCTCTATCTTTTTATTAGCATAGGTTTATACTTTGATTTGGCATGCCAACAGGAACCCTACAGAAATCACGTGAAGTGCCTATATGTACCTTTGATTCTCTGCAGCTCTTCTGGTGTGTGGCCTTGGCACTCCCAAAATCCAGTCTTATTTAGAATGTGGGGCCTCAACTTTGGCCCGCTAACATATTCCCAGCTCCCATGGGAGTGTGTCAGTGATTAATACAGAGGACCCCAAGAAAAATACAGGCATGGGATACAGCATGCCCAAACTCTAAAAAATAGAAGAAGCCAAGGCCTCCTACTTCCCAGAATACACTCAAACATAATTATGTTAAAACTTGCAAGTATGCACCTTACAATGTGGCACTATAGAGATAATCTGAGAGAATCGACACGGTGACATAGAAAAAAAGATAAGTCCTATCTAACATTTTAAATTTAATTTGTTAAAATTATAAATAAAATTGGTGGATGTGGATGGAAGCATTTCTTATTTTTATTTACCTTTCTGTGATATAGCTAAAAGGGTAAGGAGTTCATAGTATGTATTTACCAGTTTACATTGCAGAATGTTGCAACCTATGAACTTAGCTTTGTGTTGACCCTCTAATCTCACCAATAAAGTACATTAAACATATCATTCATGCATAGTGATCAGGGATAGGGATTTATTATACAGGCATTCTGGGATGACAAGAACAGTTTGGGGCCTGCATCTTTAAAAAACAAATTAGCAATGGCAGTCCCCACATTTCTGTCCTTGTATACCTCAGTTCCCCATACAGCAACCATTGATGAAAATAAGTATTTAATACTGTAACAGTCAGAGAGATAATACAGGTTATCCCAGCAGGAGTTGTTGTGGACAGATCCAGCAGTTACCTTTTGTGAAGTCTACTCTTCTTCGGAGATAATCCAGGTATGACTGCCAAATCTCCACATAATCTGTGGCCTGGATGAAGCCCGCATTAAGAGCCTTTTCAAACGTTTCTGAAGAAAAAATGGAAGCTACTTTAGATGCAGTTATTCCAAGTCATGAAGGATTCAATTTAAGGGAAAAACATCCAGTCTGACCTCTCCTGAAAATTCAAAATGGTCTGGATTTAGGGGGTTAAAACAGGCAGTGAGGAGGCAAGAAAACACCTCCTCATTGCCTGTCAAATGCTCTCTGAAAAGCAATCCGAAAGCAAACCTCTCTTTGGAGAGCAAAGCAAGTGAAAAGCAAGCCCTTAAAGTGTCACTAAACCCACATCATAAAAAACCTATCAATTAATGCTGTATTACATGCGGTTCTTACTCAGTCACTATGGGATTTGTTTTCTGGTTGATCCTGCTGTTCGTTATCTCCCCATCCTGTCCATGCCCTCAATGCAGCTGAGGATTCTGGAGAGCAGTGCTGGCAGCTACTGCACATGCTCAGTTTTCAATTTTCAGTTTCTGTGCTGAGCATTTCCTCCTTGATCACATTTAAGCATCCCAGGTGACTACAGTCACACATGTGGGAGTATACACAGTGGTAAATGACAGCCCACTCCATCCCTCCTCCTCCATGCCCACTAACCAGCTAAACACAAAGGTGGTAGAATATTACATGTAGATTAATGGAGGCTTCACCTGTTATTCTAAGACACAGGCTGGAGGGGCATGACACAGCCTGTGACTGGTAAAAAAAATCCGCTCACGCCATGTTATTGGCAAAAAATAATAAAGATTTGATTTCCAATATATATTTGAATGACTATTTGAAAAAGTGTTTATTAATATTTTTTTTAATCTGTATTCCTAAGGCAGTTTTTTTTTTTAGTTTGAACATGTGACAAGCAGCAGAGGACTAGAAACTCCTACTTATGTTTCCCTGCAGACAGGCCGGAAAAAATCGGGGTCATGTGACAGCTGTATATCAATTAGGAAAAAAGCGATTTTTTTTTTTCTGGTTAAAATAATTACAGTGCCATCATCCATATACAGAAATAGAAAAGACAATGTACATTAAAGAGTGTGAGTTTAGTATCACTTTAACTTATACAAAAGCTTCAATGTGTTCTATGTTGCTGACCTGAAATAACCAATCAGATCAAAAATTCTAACTAATTCTAACTAACTGCAAAAGTTTATATTTCTTTCAGGCTAGTAAGTTAAAGGCTTCTTAGGTTTCCTCCTTACCCCTTTAAACCGACATGCTAATTACATTTTTAACCAAAATCGGACTTCATTTTAGAACCTGTGAGGTCACCATTGGATTTCTGTGATTCTTTATGAAATACAGGCAGATCATGGCTGGAGGGAGGGGCCGGCAGGGTTTCTATACGGGGATTTCTGAAAATATCAGAGCACCCTGCCTCAGTACACCTCTCAATAACCCTAATGATGGAATTCTCTTAAGAAAATTTTGATAGGTGGATGCCAGTCTGTAGGAGTGGGAATTCATAGAGAGACAGCCACATTTACATGAAACCTTCCCTAGGTAACACTTGAATGTGATGCTGATCCATGATTGGAAGAATTGAAATCCAAAGAAAAACAATAAATGAAAGCGGCAGGCAGGAGAAAGCAAGGCAGAGGAGGAAAGGGCTAGATACTGGAGGTCCAACAGCTTCTAATGTATACAAGGAGAAGCTCATAGTGTACAGTGAAATCAAAGTAAGCAATTTCAGCACAGGTAAAAAGTACGACTGATTTTCTGTTTTAAAGTATTCAGACCATAGAAAATGAGGCAACTAGCACATTTCAAAGAAAGTGAGCATCTGCTTTCTCCCATATTTTTTTCTCAGTATAGGTTTCAAGTTAAGGACAGGACCTTAAAGAAAAAAAAAAACCTAAGTGGCCCAGAACCCAAAGCTGAATTCCAAGAAAAGAATAAAAAATGCTCCCTTGCAATGGGGCTGCCTAACACTGCAAAGTTAAATGCCTGTTTATGTCTAGGGTATCACAAAAAGCAAGAAGCATATAATCAATCCTCGCAGGCTCCGTCCAGGTTGCAAGACAGGTCCCTTAGCCCCCCCCCCCCCCCCCCCAAATACTCCAGGGGTTTGCAGGTCCTCTGACATCAAGAAGTCCAATGCAGAGCCAAAAACGCTGTACTTGCCATGAGCATGTCATTGGACAGACCACTGCCACAGCATAGAGGGAGAAAAGAGGAGGAAGTGGTCTGCTGGGGGAGCAGAGCATCAGGTAAGTAGAAGTGAATTCTGTGGCCCCCCCTATATCTAAACGAACATTTAACCCTTGCAGTGCTGAGCAGCCTCACTGTAAGAGAGCATTTTTCCTTTCCCTGGAGATGGACTTTAAAACCCTTGAGTGATACCAGCTGAACTCCATGTATGATCTTACATGCATACTTATATTGAAGCAAAGTAAGTATGCATATCTCATTCCTGTGGAAGCTGACAATCACTATAGTAGTTGGTGCTACCACAGTAATTGCCACGATTTTCTCAGTCCTACACCGAGGCTGCCCCACTGCACATAGACCACAGGGGGCCGCATATTCAGCACTGTTACCAATCACAGAACAGCTTGTATTTTCTTGTTCAAAGATTACATGATGCTCTCTGATTGGACATGGTGAGATGGAGGGTGCTGACATCACGATCTCCACCTCATCCAATCAAAGAATGGTGTAGCAACAATGCTGCACTGATCCTGAATTCAGAGCTATACTCATGTAGCAAGTGCCTACTTGCACTACAATGAGTTTTGAATAAAAAAATGTTGTCATTGCTATTTTACAAGCCTGTAGATCAGGCATACTGAATTAAAATTCATGGACGTCCGGTCATTAAAACTTTCATCCAGCAGAGGTCAGAGTCTCATGTTTGTGCTCGGGTTCTTCAGATCACAGCCCCACCCCCTTACACTACAGTTTTCCCCTTTACATCACAGCCCCCTCCTTTATACCACAGTACTACCTTTAAAATTGCTGAACCCCCAATTTACATCACACAGCACTCCCCTTTACAATACAGCCCCTTCTTTACATTACAGCCCCCTTTGCATTCAAATCCCCCCTATATTACATCACAGTGCCTCCTTTACTTAATTGTCCTTTGTCTCCCCTTCACATCACCACCCCCCCCCCCCCCCCCCCCCACCTATACATCAGTGTCCTCAGCCCCCACCTCACATCACAGTCCCCCTCCCCTTCACATCAGTGTTCTCTGTCAGCCTTTACCTAAATCCCAGTCTCCATCACATCCCCCCTTCCTTGTATACCTGTCCCCCCTTTACAGCCCCCCCCTTACTTGCATCTCAGTCCCCTTTACAGCCCCCCCCCTTACTTGCATCTCAGTCCCCTTTACAGCCACCCCTTCCTTGTATCCTAGTCCCCTTCACAGCCCCCCTTTCTTGCACCACAGTCTCCTTTACAGCACCCCCTTACTTACATCTCAACCCCTTCACAGCCCCCTCTTCCTTGCACCCCAGTCCTCAACCCCCTCTTTCTTGCTCCCCAGTCCACTTCACAGCCTCACTTCTTTGCACCCCAGTCCCCTTAACAGCCCTCCTTCCTTGCACCAAAGTCTTCTTCACAGCCTCCCTTCCTTGTACTCCAGTCCACTTCACAGCCCCCCTTCCTTGAACCCCAGTTCTCTTTACATCCTTACTTGAATCTCAGTCCCCTTCACAGCCCCCCCCCTTACATGCACCCAAGTCCCCTTCACAGCCCCCCCCCTTCCTTGAACCCCAGTCCCCTTTACAGCCCCCCCTTACTTGCATCTCAGTCCCCTTCACAGCCACCCCTTCCTTGTATCCCAGTCCCCTTCACAGCCCCCCTTTCTTGCACCATAGTCTCCTTTACAGCAGCCCCCTTACTTACATCTCAGCCCCCTTCACAGCCCCCTCTTCCTTGCACCCCAGTCCTCAACCCCCTTTTTCTTGCTCCCCAGTCCAATTCACAGCCTCACTTCTTTGCACCCCAGTCCCCTTAACAGCCCCCCTTCCTTGCACCAAAGTCTTCTTCTCAACCTCCCTTCCTTGAACCCCAGTCCTCTTCACAGCCCCCCTTCCTTGAACCCCAGTCCTCTTTACAACCTTACTTGCATCTCAGTCCCCTTCACAGCTCCCCCCCTTACATACACCCAAGTCCCTTTCACAGCCCCCCTTTCTTGCACCTCAGACCCTTTTACAGCCCCCTTACTTACATCTCAGCCCCCTTCACAGCCCCCCCTTCCTTGCACCCCAGTCCTCACAGCCCCACTTCCTTGCACCAAAGTCCTCTTCACAGCCCCCCTTAGTCCCCTTTACAGCCCCTCCTTACTTACATCTCAGTCCCCTTCACAGTTCCTCCCTTCCTTGCACCCCTGTCCCCTTTACAACCCCCGGTCCTTGCACCCCAGCCCCATTTGCAACCCTCCTTCCTTGTACTCCAGTCCACTTCACAGCCTCCTTTCCTTGAACCCAGTCCTCTTTACAACCTTACTTGCATCTCAGTCTCTCCCCTTCACAGCCCCCCCATTACATGCGCCCAAGTCCCCTTCATAGCCCCTCCTTACTTGCATCCCAGTCTGCTTCACATTTCCTCCCTTCCCGCACCCCAGCCCCCTTTACAACCCCCCTTCCTTGTACTCCAGTCCACTTCACAGCTCCCCTTCCTTGTACTCCAGTCCACTTCACAGCCCTCCTTCCTTGCACCCAGTACCCTTTACAGACCCCCTCTTACTTGCATCTCGGTCCCCTTTAAAATCCTCCTTTTTTGTATACTGTTCCCCCTTCACAGCCCTCCACCTTCCTTCCTTGCAGCCAAGTCCCATTAATATGAATGCCCCCTCCCTTATATTCCCCCCCCGCCATTCACAACCCTCCTTTTTGATCCTACCTTACACAGCAGGTAGAAGGCAGAAGGCATGGCATGCATGGACACAGGGCAAGAAATGTGGGACATGCTTTTCATGTTTAACAGGCAGCTGATTGCTTGCTAGGAACACCTAGCAACCAATCACTGGCTTGTTAACTTGAAAAGTTGGACAGCTCCCGCCTGCTGGCTAGACATGCCATGCCTTCTGCCTTCTATAAAGATGAAAGCTGTGGCGGTAGCAGTAGCTCAGTGGAGGCGGGGGGGGAGTGAGGATATCAGCTGCAAAGGACATCCAGGCTGCTGTCGGAGCCACAGTCCGTATAGGATTGCCATTCATTCCGTTTGCGGACCACGATCCACCATTTAGTGATGCCTGCTGTAGATTGTCAGTCAGCACCTGGCCACACAACCAAGTCCTGCCCATGCTTTTATGGAATTGCTGTACTCAAAGTGCTATTGAAACCCTCCCACTGTAGGCTGAAGTGTCTTGGAGGGGGAGCAAGTGAGATAGAAATGAAGGAAGGTTTGGGTCGGTCAGGAAGTTTTTTACTTTATGAGGCTTGTACATCGACATATAGGCATATAGAAGTCCTCAACTTGCCAGTGACAGGATCTGCAGAGAGGGCAAAAAAAAAAAAATATCACCCGTTTTCACAATGCCACTTCCTTAGGGGCAGGGAATAAAAATTTCAGCTAGGGAGGAAGTGACACCGCACTGACCTGGCCAGCGAAGGTCAGACACTGTGAAAAAGGAAAGCAGTTATTCTACCATCTTTAGTAATCCTATTGCTGAAGTGGATCACAAGTGTGAGACAGGCTTAAGTGCTATAGTATGTCACCTGAAAGAAGCAATAGTTTTGGAGCATGCCCCTGGGTTAGCAACCTTTCAAGAGTAAGAAAGTTATAGCCTTGAATACTGCATGGGTACTCCAACTATACTGCACAACAGCAGCCCTGATTTTTTTCCCCACAATTCAAATCTATACATCATTTTTTTTAATCTTGCTTTGCAACTCTTTTAGTTAAGACGTACACAGCGTCGGCAAGCCATGCCCCTTCTCTCTCCTTAGTGCAAGATGAATGACAGCTGCATCAGCCTGTCACATCTCCTGAAGCTAGCAGCCATAAAAAGAGGGCAAAAAGTGTTTGAGGACAAGGGGCTTACAAATGTACAGCATGTTTTCAACTTTAATGCTAAGAATGCTTTAAGGTAACAAACACCTTGCATTTAGAACTATTTTAATTCATTCACTTCTGCCAGCTTACTGGCTTTTTTTTGAGCTGTATACAAAGATGATGTAGACGACCAGTACTCACCAACTATAGTGTTGTGATCTACACAATGTCGCTCCATGGCGAGAATACACCTTTTCCAAAGGGCCACTGTCCATGGACAATTTCTGGTAGCCCGGTCATGAGAAGAAAGAACCAGTTCCTTCACTTTGAGCTGTCTGTCCTACAGGTAGAAGCAGCAACGTTAATGTATTTTCTTTTCCGAGAACTAAATTGAACTATTCTACAGCCAACACTTTTGAAGATAAAAAAACATCTCAAAATATCAAATTTACTTAAATTTAAAAGGAGAAATCAGGGAATAGAACATAAAAAACATACATATACTCTCCCCCTTGCTACAGCTGTCCCCCGCCAGCACTTTAGCCCAAGAACTGAGTGATCGCATGACTGCTGACCGATCATTTCTCGATCTTCCCAAAGCAGAGAGCGCTGACTGTCAATTACCGCTATCTGCTCTGCCCCTCTAGTGTTCACTGGAGTGTCTGAATGGAGCTGCTGGTTCAGACTCTCATTGGGTGTGTTGAGAGACTGAGCCAGCTGTCTATCTGGCATCGGAGTTAATCCCGAAACTGCCAAGATCCTTCCAGAGCCTGGAGTGGCTCTGTGACATTTAGCCCACTGTTGGCTTATTCTGGATCACAGGAGTGCACTCCTGTGAGCCACAAGTAAAGCATGGCCAAAAATAAAACAAAAAACGTTGCCCATACTTCTTTTAGATTACCCAATGTATAAGCTTCAGAAAGCTTAAGAGATTTTCCAAGAATACCTAGATGATAGGATTTATGATAAATAATTTAGAATCTTTATCCTGTCATACCATCTAACCATGCATCACTACAAAGATCACTATTACATCCCCATCTCTGACATCCCTAAAAAAAAAAAAAAAAAAAAAAAAAAAAATCAACTTAAAATGTAAAGTTAAAAAAAAATCACGTGTCAAATTAAAATGGATACAGAAAGTTTCAGACACAGTTGTCTTTAGTCATAGCATATGTGTCACATTTCACTAACAATAAAGCCCAACTCTGGGGAATCTTAAAAAAAAAAAAAAAAAAAAAAAAAAAAACCTCCCTTGCAGTGGGGCTGCACCCACACTGCTAGGGTTAAAAACTGGCTTCTGCCAGGGGTACCAGGAAAGCGCATCAACTTATGTGATCCACTACTCACCTGGGAGAATTAGCTCCCCTATGTTCTAGTGGACTGTCCCTAGGCATCCTAAGATCCAATGTAGAACTATGGGCCCTGCATCGGTCCTGATGATGTCAGAAGCCTTTAGACCTCGGAAGCATGAGGGAGAAGAGGCTGCAGGGAACGGTCTAGCAGCACAGAGCAGCCTGCGGAAGCTGAGGATCCGTTGCGTAAAATTGCTGTACTCAGCCTCCCTAGACAAACAATCGTTTAAAGCCTGACTTCAACTATCATTTAACTTTAATTAGTTTAATTAGACCAAGCTGTTCCAAGCAAACTATTTCCTTCACAAAGAAATGCAGCACTGTCAGCGATGTGCTATCTGCTACTGGAGCAAAACTGAGTAATGCAGGCCATAGATGGGAGAAAAAACTGCAGATTTTTTCTTTTAAAAAACGAAAAATCGGTTGTTCAAGTGGCCGACGTTACCATCAATGGTAAAAAAAAAATCGGCCGATTTTCTACCCGTCTAGAGCCGGCAAAAAGTGTCCCTGCAGAGAGCTCTGCTATTTCTTTACAGTTCTCTGACAGTTCCTTGACATTTATAGAAGTTGCAACAATGTATCTATTTGTTTCCATTTAGGATACAGATGTTTTTATTCGGAAACAAATAGATACAATGTTTCAAACCGCTGTAAATGTCAAGGAACTGTCAGAGAACTGTCAGAAATAGCGGAGCTCTCTGCAGAGACACTTTTTGCTGGACTGGAATTCTTCTTATTTTCATCCTACTTCTTCTTCTTCATCCTCATCCTCTTCTTCTTCATCCCCATCCTCTTCCTTCTTCATCCTCATCCTCCTCCTTCTTCTTCCTCATCCTCTTCTTCTTCTTCATCCTCTTCTTCTTCTTCATCCTCATCCTCTTCTTCTTTCTTCATCCTCATCCTCTTCTTCATCCTCATCCTCTTCTTCTTCTTCGTCCTCATCCTCTTCTTCGTCCTCAATCCTCTTCTTCGTCCTCATCCTCTTCTTCGTCCTCATCCTCTTCTTCGTCCTCATCCTCTTCTTCGTCCTCATCCTCCTCATCCTCTTCTTCTTCATCCTCATCTTCTTCTTCATCCTCTTCTTCACCCTCATCCTCTTCTTCTTCTTCATCCTCATCCTCTTCTTCTTCTTCATCCTCTTCTTCATCCTCTTCCTCTTCTTTTTCTTCTTTTTGTCTTCCTCTTGCAGGTCACTGCTCATGCGCAGATTTTTTATCGGTAAAAAATCGGCCGATTTGCCCACTAATTGCCGCGAAAATCGACCGATCGGCAAAATCGGCCGATTTTTTTTTTCCAACTTTACCGAAAAACAAAAACAGCCAAAATACCGAAAAACGGCCGACCAAATCGCCCACTAACGATCCGAAAATCGGCCGATTTTATTTTCGGCCGAAAAATCGGCCGATTTTCGACCCGTCTATGGCCTGCATAAGACTGAGTGCTGCTCAGCTATTTTGCATTTTATGAATGAATACAGGGCTTCCTCTGACTGATTGGAGGTGGAAATTGTGATAATCAGCCCGTCTCTCCAGATTAGAAGAAGCCTTTTAAACCTTTATAAAGTACAAGGCTTTCTAGCAGCTCTCAGTCCAACTTGATTTAGTTCCGTGAACAGGACAGAAGGTCCCCATATCCCTCCTGGAACACAGGGCTGCTCACTGCATGTAGATGATGCTAGATACAGTTTATTCAGCGCAGACAGCGGACGCATGCAGTAATGAAGGAAATGGTTTGCTCGAATCAGCTTTGTCCAAGCAAACTATTTAAAAATTAAGTGAAACCTGGAGTTAAGATTTAAACCTTGCAGGGTGGGCACAGCCCCACTGTAATGGGAGGACATTCATTCCATTATGCCATTTTGAAATTTTAGCTCATATGGGCAAAAAATCCTCTCCAACTATATAATGCAATATCTATTTCTGTTCTGTAGATATTGAAATTCCAGTGCACTTGTTTAAATCTATCAATCTAAGTGGGAGGGCACATAAAATACTACATCTGCAACAGACCTTTAGACATGCAAATTCTAATCTCCTTACACAGTAGTAATGTGTAATAGTGTTTGTATCCTATTACCTGCAGGTTTCTGATAAAATATCTTCCCATGTGTGCCACCTCACTGACGCTGGATACCGCCCTCAGCGACTGTTTAACAGCGCTATAAAATTAACTGCAGACTACGCTAAACAGAAAAGTTGCACTGCCTGCACTTCTGTACTTTACGCCATTCACAGAACACATTTTACTACATTCACACAATGCATCAATTTCTGTGAATGGGAAACCTGTCATTTACCTGCTCCACTGCTCTCATACAGAACGCAACTACCACAGAAATATCTGTGGCAGACGCAGACACCTGCAGGTAATGGGATACACACCATTAAACATAACTAATGTGTATCGTGCTGCATCCCCCCCGTTCACCCCAAGAAAAAAAAAAAAATATATAAAAAAAAAAAATACCACAATAATACTTCAGCTTTAGACTTAAATGAACAAAGCCTAAAATGTTCTTGGGAAAGAAAGTACTGTGGTAACAGTTGCACAGAAGAGATATTACCATTTGGAAGCTGTACAAATTGATAGCCTCGCTCTCTATAATGCCATAGCTTGCATTAGCTGTCCATTATAACCTATTCAACCGGATACTCACAAGGTACTGAGTGTATCTTGCCCAAAGATCCGGAACCAAACAATTTTCAGCCAGGGCACGTTCGAAAATAAGCAGGATGCGAGCCGGATCTCCTTCCTTCGTTTCAAAGTCAATGTAAGCTTGGTATTCTGCTAATTTCGGAGTTTCAGCAGCCAGCTATAGGAACACAAGATGGAAGATTATTACCATTATGGCCTGAACCAAACATCTGAAGAGTGTTACTGAAATGTTTGATAAGGGTCTACAGTATCAGAAATTTTATTCTCTCATATTTAAAGGATAAGTTCACTTTTTAACAAAAAATAATAAATGCTAATTTTTTGCAAGTAAAAAAAATTAAGTGCATTTATTATTTGTTTAGTTTTCTGGAGCCTCTAAACATTGCACCAGTGATCAGCAGGTCGCTGGTGCCATGCAGGTCTCCCTCTGACCTGTCAGTGTATCTGCTTGCTCGTACATCCCATATACGGACAACTATATACGGTTTTGTTTAAATTGTGACAGCTAGCGGGGAGGTGCGGGGCCAGTCCATTTGTAACATGTTACATACTGAATATGGGTGTAACATGTTACGAAAGGTGTAATAATCCTTTAAATATATCTTAAGTCTAAATAGTTGCTGTACAATACAGTGGTTAGAGTAGAAAAATAGGATACTAATAAATACTATAATTACTAGAACTTTGTGGAAATAGAAAGTTCAGGAGAAGAGGACATTTCTCCAATCATCTGATTTGCGGTTTATGTACACCCCTAAGCCGGAGAGCTGTTGGAGCGAAATCCCACCAACCCCAACCTGCAGAGGGATTTGGATGTTGGTTTGAGCGCTTTTTGATCTTTTATTTATAGGTCAACGCTTGGAGCCCCTTTTCTTTTTATTTGAGTACACCCCTAAGACGGAGACCTGCTGGAGTGGAATCCCACCAGGCCTGACCTGCAGAGGGATTTGGATGTTGGGTTGAGCACTTTTTGACCTGTTATTTATAGGTCAGCGTGCATGCTGGGTGATGGTGGACACAGCAGTGTACCAAGGGGAAGATTCATTTTGAACCTCTTTATAATTATCACTGTGGACTGTCACTTTATATTCTACGGATTATTATTTTTTGATAAATCGCTGTTTTATCCACCTTTGGTTCATTTTACCTATATGCGAGTTATATCTTATCGTGTTCGTGATATACAGTTATATTTTTTTCCCACATGGTTTGTACTAGATGGCTGGCCGGGTGTTTACCTACTGAATTTCTTACTTACAAAATGCACAAGTGTATTGCTGTATGCTTTAGGTTTATACAGTTACACTCATTCTGTGTGGGATATTGAAATATTTAGGTGTGTTTATTGGGCTTTGTCAGGTGTTTATTATTCACTTTAGTGAACTGTTTTTGTTCTGGTATAAACCCTAATATATAGGTGGGTGGGCTATTGATTTATCCATTTATTTATTCACCCATTTATTAATTATTATGCACTTTACTTGGGTTGAGACTTACAGAGCAGCACTATTTATTTATTGTTTTGATTTGCTTTTTGAGTGGTGGAACACGTTTGGTGCTTGCAGCTTTAGTATTGTTATACATTTCTCTGGCAGCGCATAAGACTCCTTCTGTTATTCATCTTAGTTAATTTAAATATCTGCTGAGCAGGATGGAAAATTATCAGAACAGTGACTGCATCCAATCAGGTGAAATCACTATTTAGGTATTCAGGAAGCAGTGGGTGCTACAGCTGATGAAAATAACCGATAGTGAATATTTATCCATTCATGCTGTTTAGCATGGATAGGGGAATAGACTTATTTTCTCTCCTTTGGGCTGAATGAAAATATGCTGCGTGTGGCTTCTGGCCTTAGATATACTTTAAAATTTTACAGTATACTGGAAAAGAATCAAAGAACAAAGTACCATTTAAACAAAACTGTGTCATGGTACAACAAATATTTTAACAACCACCATACACAAATTAAAATACAATTTTACAATTTTTTTTTTAATTAAATAAAAAAAAAAAACACAAACATTTAAACAAGGGTGAACAATTCTCACCAATGCCTCTTCATATGGCTTATACTTTCTCTACTTGTTGCATGGCCTTCTTGTAATTGTTCACAAGAGAATCTGCAATGGGTTCCTCTGACCAATCCACATACTCTGCATATGTTGTTTCCATCTCTGTCAAGTATGCATTAGATATCCCATCATTCAGAATGAATAGATAAATACATTTAACATATGCACACATTATAAAAATTAGCTTTGCTAAAACGCTCAGTAAATTGATTTTTTTTTTTTTTTTTGAAAGAACACTACTCATTGCAAACAAAAGGTAACAAAAGTTAATTCTAAAATTTTACATATTAATGCAAATGTGTCCCTAAAATAAAATGTATACTAAAACAATGGATACCCGGACGCATAACTATACTGATGTTCTGACTCCAACAGTTTTAACAAACAGGCTAAACAGTGCTTCAAGCTACTTGTGTGGAAAATCATGGCAACGAAGCAGGGTTTTTCCTACCAGAGGACAGACATTAAGAATTGCTCTTACCTAGAAAGCGGCACACCCAACTGCCGTTTAAACAATGTGTGGATTCTTTCAAGTTGGTCATTTAGGATCTGCTGCTGTTCTGATGAAGGGACGGTGCCTGCCACTGGCTAGGTTGTATATATATATATATAAAAATAAAATTAAAAAAATACAGAAACAAAAACGAATATCAACTATTCTTAAACAAAATAAATGTTGATAAATTGTAGATACATAAAAGGTACAAGTAAGCAAATGTAATGTTTGTATAAATTCCAATATAATTTCACATTACATGCGATTATAAACCCAGCTCATGTATAACACAGAACACATTTTTGAATTTCATTACCTGGATGGAGCCCAGAATTGCGTTCTCAAATTCCCTGTATGCATCCCATACAGCAGAACCTTTGGTCATATGCAGTCCAACAGCTGTTAAAGCCCTCTCAAATATAAAGCGGACTTTGGCAATGCCTCCTTTATCACCCATTCCACCAATGGAGTACTGAGCATATTCAAGCCAAATTTCAGGACCTAAAGTAACATAAACAGCTCAGATAATAAACAATCAAAAAAACAATTACTTGCAGTATGTTAACAAGCAGCAACCAATTTCTGTCTAGGCAGTTTATTAAAACAACATACTGATTGTGACCTGATCAATAATACCCCCAGTACTTATGTCTGCTCATCTTTCATGTCCTTTATGATGTTTATGACAAGTAAAGATCTATAGAAACCTTTGGCATTGCATATATAGAGACAGGCAAGAGTCCTAAGTTCCAAATCCCAGGTAGTTCAGGAAAGCAAAGTGCAACTATCCATGCCACATCAAATGAAAATGATCATACAGAGAAGATGATTACTTTTAAGTCAAAGCCGTCAAAAGAAAACAAAAATTAGCACAAAAAGGACATCACTTACAGTCTGTAGGATGTGTCTTTGGTTACCTGAAATCCTCCATCGATACAAGCCCCCTTTCCCCCCCCACCAGCACCACTACCACCGCAATCTTCTGGTGCAGTGGGGGGTGAATAGAATGGAGGATGCAATGACAGGAACATTTCCTGGGTGCCTGAATTTGCCCTTCCTTTCTGCCTAGCTCTTCCCCTCATAGAAGCCATAATACAGCTTCTATGAATAGAGGGGTGGACCTTCTTTCAATCATCCACTCATCCTTCATATTGTTTTTCTTTAATACACGCTGTAGTTCCAGCTTCTATGAATGGAGGAGCTGGGTGGAAAGTTTGGGCATAGTTTGGTACTCCTGATGAATGCCTGTCACCTCTCCCTCAGTCCTTTTAACCCCCGCTGCACCATAAATGGAGGGGAACCGATGGAGGAGGATTTCAGCTATCAGAAGCAACATCTGCAGATGGTGAATATCCCCTTGACTGTAAGTAATGAGCCCCAGAACAGCACTTTGGGATAGATTACAGACCTACGATAGTTTAATTTTACGATTGAATCCTCTAGCTCACATTTTCAACAACCAAAGATTCCCTCCAGGTATTGATGCTAGGGCATTCAAGTGGTGGTTGGATAAAGGACTCTATAAAACTGGGCACTATTTTACCTCAAGTGGACCCTTCACATTTGCCCCCTGTGTCTAAGCTTGAATTACCGCAGTCTGAATTTTTTCAATTCTATCAAATTTCTAATATTTGAAATCCTTTTGTCCAGTGGGGCAAACTGCCCCTTCTCTTACCTCCTATGAAAAATGGTGTAATGTGAATAAAGGACAGAGAGGAGGAATCTCACCAATTTATGGTCTGTTGCTTGCCTCCCCAGGTAAATTATCTTATATGGTGGGACTGGGGTAGGGATTTGTCCTACGATACGACCCTGGAAGCATGGCACACCCGTTTTCATGCTCCTTTCCAAAGTACTATGAACATCTCCCTTATTGAGGCACATCTTAAAGTTAATACATGATGGTACCTTGTCCCAGCCTTCCTAGGTAAGATGTACAGTGGCTCTTCCCCGTGGTGCTGTTGTGGGAATGCCCCCAGCAGACCCAGTATGCTTTTTAAATGAGGCGAACTCTGACCTCTCCCACAGTGAACAAAGGTTAGCGCCCCCCGTATTTCAGCGACAAAATGTACAATTGCGGGTGCTTGGAAAGCCCGTCTATTTTTTACCCAATCTAAACAAATTTTGTGGATTATGATCCATGAGAAGCTAGCAAGCGTACTGAATGACAAGGTCAAACAGTTTTAAAAATATGGTCCCCTTGGGCTTCATATATGCACATTGGAGAATTGATTGTATTTTTTCGGTCTTGGAACACCCTGAGCTTCTTTCGGTTTTTCCTTTTCCTTAGATTGCCTCCTATTCCTCAGGTATTTCCTCTCTTTTTACACTGTATGAGTTGAGGGGTTTTTCGCTCCTGCTGTCTGTTTATATTGATAATTCTGCTGAACTTTCTAAGTCTGTCTGACCATCTTGCTGAAAATAGCAATGATGCTATATTGGTTTTCCCTTTATTTTTCATGACATGCTATGCCCTGATTGCTGATACTTTATTACTGTTGCCAAGAGACTTCGACTTAATTGTAAACCATTATTGGATATGGTTGTTTTTCAATTTTCTTGTATCTGATTGCTTATAAAACTTGCAATAAACATATTGCATGAGAAAAGAGCCCCAGAACAGAGTCAAAGTGTAAAAGTCAGTTTATATTTGAAAATCCTATGCATTTCAGGAATTCCAAGTGGACTCACTTCAACAGGGCTTTGAACTTAACCACTTCAAGTCCAGACACTTTTATCCCCTTCCTGTCCAGGCCAATTTTCAGCTTTCAGTGCGATCACACTTTGAATGACAATTGCGCAGTCATGCAACACTGTACCCATATTAATTTTTTAGCATTTTTTAATACAGATAAAGCTTTATTTGGTATTTGGCATTTATTCACCACTGGGATTTTTATTTTTTTTGCTATGTAAATGAAAAAGTCCAAACATTTTGAAAAAAAGTGTTTTTCTTATAAAATTTTGCAAATAAATAATATTTCATCATAAATCTTGGCTAAAATGTATTCCGTTATCTTTTTACATTTTTATATATATATATATATATATAAATATATATATATATATATATATTTATTTTTTTTTTTTTTTTTTTACATACTGTCACCCTAGCAGTACAGTGTCACCAAGGTGACACTGTACTACTTGTGGGGGGTGATGAAGTTTTTTTTTTTTACACTGATTGCTTTTACACCCATAAAGGCTGTAAAAGCAATCATTTCTCCTTCTCTCTGGCTGCATTCTTGCAGCCATTGAGAACTACTATGTGAGCTGTGATTGGTCACAGCTTGTCAAATGGTACAAGGTTGTTGTGAATAGCTTTGTACCAAGTGACCTCTGTGACCATTCACAGATTTCACACGTAGTAAAGCAATGATGTCAGAATTGACATCTTGCTTACTGCTCTGCATGTGATCACTGATTGGCCAATCAGTGATCACATGATCGAGACCTCGCACAGAAGGTCCCGTACGATGATTGGTGTTTCCAACTGTGTTTGGAGGACACAGCGGGCACCGGCCGGTGCGCGGTGCTGCGCCGCTCCTAGGGAGCGCGCACAAGTTATGGGCGCGGAGACCGTTTATAAATGGCCACCTGACCCTGCACTGCTCCTGTCCGCCGTTTATATACAACGGCTGGGCGGGAGGTGGTTAAGCTGGCCAAACATTATACAATGTTCTTGTTCAATTTTATTTGGATTTACCTTCAACTATGTAGTGGAAGGGCCTGCCTGATTGCAAACAAATTGAAAGTGTTTAGTTTGCCCTCATATTATAATGGGTTTTTTGCTAAATCTAAAGGAAAATTGTATAATGTATGGCCAGCCTTACCACAGCAACCATTCCTGGACCATACAGAAGCCTTCATTAAGAGATAGTTTTTCAGGTGTGCTTTGACTGCTTCAATAGCAAGCTGCTAAATCTGCTGCAGGAGCTATCTCCCTAAAAACATCTCAGACAAAATTAGTTGCAGAGCTATGGCTCTGATTAGTGGTATCATCTAAAAACTACTCTAAAAACAAAGATTTTGAATCTAACTCAATGACATTAACAAGAGGGTTTATCCACAGTTATCACACCATTCTCAACCCTTAACAAATACAAACAATAATATGAAAAGTAAAGACAATTAGGACTTACAAATATAATCTATTAACAGCTCTTTCAAACAATTCATAAACAGTCTCTCGGCCTGAAGTTTCTGATTTTGCAATCTTCATCTCATCCTTTAACCAGTCCAGCCAGATCTCTATAAGAGCAGAAACAGAAAAGTGTGGCAAATTTAACTAAAGCAGTATACTCAAAATGGCCCGTAGAGTTTGACATAAAATTAAAAAGTGAAGATCTGCTGTTAGAGAGAGCATGTAGAAATGTTAGAGGAGGAACTTAACTTGGTAGTAATGTAAACCTGTCTTTGTGCAGATGGGAGGACAGGTCTCTGCAGCACATCTGCACGGGATACCCGGGCATGTGCATATGCAGAGCTTAGGTCAGGTATCTCCTGGACAATGTAGAGGCCTATGCCCTATGTGGGAATCCTCCACAGATGTGCAGACATGCTGCTTGGTCTCTGCCAGTTTTGCAAACACCTGCCAGAACATGGTGG